TCGGGAAGAAGATTTTAGATTTTGAAGTTTCGCATAGGTTATATTTTTTCCCTGTTATGCAATAAAGAGCAAAAAATAGTATGGCCAAAATGTGCATCATGTATTCACTCTTAGGGTTAGAAATCCAGGATTAAAATAATACCAAGCGGTGTTTTTAGTAATAGCTCGGTATTAAAGTTGTACCATGTCGGTAGCAAATTTTTATGGACCCGTATAATTCTAATACCACGCGGTAGCAACGTTACTACCGAGAAATGAATACCTGCCTGACCATATCAGATTTCTAGCAGTGCTGTACAGTCTCGAAATTTTGCAAACATTGCAAAATTAGCATAAATAAATAATTACATATTTTTGTACAAATATATTTATTTAGCAGGATTTTTAGTAGTATATTTTTTTGCAAAACTATGTTCTCCTGCGAGCACAGATACAGTCATAATTCTGGAGATGGCATAAACTGTTGTTGCTTTGGTTGAGGTACATTTTGTGCAGTGAACTCATCTCTGGTGCTTGTTTTGTTGACGGTTTTTGTCCTCCTCTCACCCTTTTTAGGAGATTGAGTGAAGGACATGGCAATCCTTTTGGCTGTTGATACTGCATTTTGATTAGAAATGTGAGATGATCTCTCGCTCGCTAAAATGTTGTTATTTAGACGTTAGAGTTTGTGTGGTTCTGGGTGAAGTTGAAATGAAGCATAATTTTTGCAGGGAAAATAAATACATATTTGTGACGATTATTGGCGTGTCAGTGAAGTCAGTGATAATAGTGCGTCTTCCTAATGGTGTGGTGTTATTTAGATTTTCAGTAGTTCCAGGTGATGTTTAGTGCAGAATTTTGCATGGGAAATATTTATACATAGCAAAATAGTTGTTAATTTGTAACAAGTGTCGTGAATTGTACACTGAAAATACACATGTGCAGCAAAAAAAGTTGCAAATTTGTACCGATTGTTGCAAATTTTGCAAGGAAAATACATCTAGCAAAAAAGTTGCGAATTTGTCGTGTCTCTGATTTTAGCCGTGTTTCTAATTCTGTGGTGGTGGTTCAAGGATCGTAAAGATTTCGAGACAAGTTTCAACTGTTTTTACGCGAAGTTTTTTTGTGGCGTGTGTGAATATGTAAAGTTTTAACTTCAGTTTTTTGTGCGTAGATTTTATTGTTTAGAAATGAACTTTAAATATAATTTGACCCTGTGTGTGGGCGAAATAAGAAGAATGAAACTTGTCGTAGGAAGATGAGAGATTGTGGATATCAGTATTTTTTTACCTCGTGTAGTATCTCGTGAGTGGCGTTTTTTTGCGGAGGCGTGGGTAAATATTTTTTGGTGGAGAATAAGGATGTAAAATTGGAATCCGGGTGGGGATGAAAGAGAAATGGTGAGAATTTTTGTAGGTAAGATTTCAGTTATTTTATGTAGGTATGGGAGGTTGTTCAAGTTTAAGTTTAGGGAAATTGTGGGAAATTTGAATTTGTTGGGCAAAAAAGCTGGAAAATTTGGAAATTTGGTTCAAATTTGTGTCGTATAGTTTCAAGAAAAGGGTGAGATTTTCTGAAAGTTTTAATCAATTATTCATAGCCACACAAGGTCTTTTGATTTCTGATAAAATTTAAAATTTGTGATGTAAATTTTTTGGGAATTGTGACAAAATTAGAAAATTAAGAATGTAAGCTTGAATTGTCTGCATCGTACTTTCCGGAAGTTTAGAGACGATTTTTCAAAATTTAGGGTGTGGACATAATTTTCTTCTGAAATTTTGACTATTTTTTTTAGTTTTTTTAGAATTTTAAACTTCCCAAAATGTCAAATAGTCACTAACCGTAATGATGACAATTAAGGTTACTTTTTAGATTTCTTGTCCGATAGGAGGCAAGCCAAAATCAAAATGGTTCATCGAATCCTAACGAGAGCCAAGATAATTGCTTTGCTCATCATAAGTATATAAGATCAGGAGTCGTGTTATATTAAAGTGATCATGATTTTTTTGAGGTCCTGATTTCCATCCGAGATATGCCTTTTTAGGCGAATTTGACATCTCCTCTCCTGAGCCTACATAATTGGAGGCAGTAGTTTTTCTACTACTACTACGTCTCATATTTTCAATTCATTTCATTTTACTGTTTATCTTCAATAAGTTGGCATGCTTTGTGCAAATATTTTCGCAAATCAACCAATTACTCGGCATTTTATTGAGACCTCCCCTGCTCTACGTTTGCCCGCCGGGAAGAGTTTTCTTTTGCAGAAAAAAGACCACCATTAAATTCGCATTACACGCTTCGTATTTCTCTACGTGGTTATTCTACTCATGTTTTTGTCCAGTTTTACACACAATTATTAAGCTTGACGGAGAGAAGTAGTAATGATTTGACATTTATGTATATAGAAATTAATTTAGTCGGGGTTTTCATTCAAACGAATTTGATCCGGTTGTTGATTTCGTTTGCTGAGTTCTGATTTCATTTCAATAAAGAGGACGACTTATTATTAATTTGTCAAGATTTGTGTTCACTTTGTGGGACTTTATGTATTTGTAAAGAGAAGGAAGAGGAGGTCGTGCGGGAAGGAACGAGGTCACAAATATGTAAAAATCACTGTATCGAATTCTGCAGTAATCGACAAAAAGGTCGAGATGCATATTGTATTCTGCATAATTTTTTGCAAATGTACATAATCCTGCAGAAAATTTCGATCGGTTTTATTCTGTAGAACTGTATGTGCATAATTCTGCATAAGGTTTTTAGTTAGTCTGCAGAAAATTGGGCCGAATTTCTGCAGTAAAGCTATTCAAATTTGACCATGCGATGACCTAATAGAGGTAAAATTTGATAAGAATAAGAGGGATAAAAATGTGTCGCATTCCTTTACGCAGGGCCCCTCACCCATCATAATTATTAAGGGGTGAAAGCCCTTTATAAGATCGTTATGTCCGTCTGTCCGTCCGTCCGTCTGTCTGTCCGTAGCTCCGATAACTTTTGAACGAAAAGACATAGAGACTTGAAATTTTGAACGTAAACTCCTAACGTCAATGGACAGGACGAGTTCGAAGATGGTCACTGTGACATCGTCACCTGTGACGATGACGTCGTCACGGTGACGAAAAGTGACGAAAAAGTGTCACGTGTCAGTTTTGACATGTGACACATCATTTTTAACTAATTTTCAACGAGGAATTCGAAAATTCATGTCCTTTTGTGTTTGGACGTCACCTGTGACGATGACATCGTCACGGTGACGAAAAGTGACGAAAAAGTGTCACTTGTCAGTTTTGACATGTGACACGTCATTTTTAACTAATTTTCAACGAGGAATTCGAAAATTCATGTCCTTTTGTGTTTGGACGTCACCTGTGACGATGACATCGTCACGGTGACGAAAAGTGACGAAAAAGTGTCACTTGTCAGTTTTGACATGTGACACGTCATTTTTAACTATTTTTCAATGTCAAATTCAATGGTGACCTCCATTTTGACCTCAGAGGTCATGTAAAGGTCATAGGACATATCTATTTCAATTTCAACTGAAATTCAACCCCGAATTCAATGGTGACCTCCATTTTGACCTCAGAGGTCATATAAAGGTCACATAAGGGTTATCAACTGTTAAATTTGACACAAATAAGACACAAAAGTCGAAAACACGTCAGAAGTGTCAATCTTAACAAATTTTCGAACAATTTGATATTCACATTGACGTATGACACTCCTTTCACCCCTTGGTTACATGCGTTGTAACGGTTTATTGAATGGTTACTCTAGATTTTGACGTCCTCCTGAGTGAGTGTTGACTTATTTATTTATTCGCGTGTGCTAAATTTGAGCTAAATTATGTATGCAGGAAGGATTTTTTTAACGAACGGCTTTTTGACCTTTTCCTACATACAGCTTTCACCTTTTGAGGACTTATTTCTTTCTTCCGCGGATTAATTTTTGCCTATGTACATATTTGCCGAGATGAAAGTGGAAATGGGACCAATTTACGGTCATCTGCACTCGTAAAGTGGCTTTATTTGCGACTTCCTACGAATATGATGATCTACTCGACTAGATTTATTTGTTGGTGGTCGTTAAAAAAAGGGATTCAGTACAAAATCGTTGGTTTGTTGAGTGATGGAATTTAGGATGGTGGAGAGTGGAGAGCGTAGTTTTTATCTCATGTCCGGTTGTCAGTTGTTGGTCATTAGTTTATTTTGTCGAGTGTGAGAAGATGATGACAAATATATAATTCGCGAATTGGTGGATATTGTGTAGATACGGGATGCCATGTGTGGTCTGCTGGTCTGGTCTTGTTTGGTAAATATGTATGCAGTGTGGTTGGATGAAGGCAGATTTATTATGGAGATTTATGGAGTTTAGTGTACAGTGTGATTCTCTGCGTAGATAGATAAAGGGAAAGTGTTTGTTATGTAGTTTTTGAGAATTTTGAATAATTTGAGGTTTTTTTGGACTGGGAAAAAGGATTTGGAAAATTTTATGGTTAGTTGAAATTTACGTAATCTGGTGGTCCTTCGTGTTATACGGGGATTACGTAAGTAAGGTTTGTTGTGGAAAAGGGGTGAAATTAAGCCATTATGTATTTATAGTGCAAAATTTGCACTGCAAATATAATGCAAATTTTGCACTATGCAATTTCTGCATTCGGAAGAGGTAGGAATTTTGTATATAATTCAATAATTCACATATGCAAGAAATGTGAGAGGCAGGAAATCAAATGTCAAATACATATTTATGAATCTAAATGCATTATGTAAAACTTGATCATATGTTACATTTCATAAAATTTGTAACATTTTTTTCCGTTGCACATTAATTTTTTTGCACACAATTATTTGCACAATCACAAATTGAATTCATGCAGTTTTCATTTTTCAAGCATCCTACATAAATAAATCGACTCCATAAATTAGGCACGCTCACCACAAATTTTGCAGCACAAAACCATAGAAATTTTACCAACGCGTACTTATGTTTTAGTTTTTTGTTTCTTTGTGTCCACTTTACAGAGTCTGACAAACCTCCCTTCACCTTATCTCCCCCTCTGATAAGATAAGCCCCTCTCATACCCCCACTTGAGACTCCCGCGTCCTACCAAAAAAAGTCGGCACAATTGACAACCATCATCACAATCGTCGTCGTCGTCGCCCTCGTCCACGCGCCGCCGCCCACGCCCACCCCCTGGAAGAAGACGTCGACATCAACAACAACCACCCCCCAGGAGAAAATCGTCGTCGCGGCCAACGTGCTCGACCTCGTCACCTTGCCGACGAAGGTGGTCGTGGTGGTGGCGCAGACGCGGCGCAACGTGCATTCTTGGCGCGCGCGGAAGCCCGGTGCTTGACCTTGTTCCTCCATTTGCTCCAGGTGACATGGATTCTTCGGGAAGTGAGGGCATTCTTGGCGTGGTGTTGCGACGCAGCGAGACTGCCGGAAGGGGACTGGGACTGGGGTTTTCTATTATTGGCGGCATCGGCTATGATTTTCCCCCAGTCCTCTACGATATCGAAAAGGACTCGCCCGCCGAAATTTGCGGAATGGTAAGTATTCTAATTGTCTCTTATTGTTTAGTATTTTTTATATGGGGGGATTATAAAGCTGGTTTGGTTGTACTCACGTCGGGGGGATTTAAACATTTTCGAAATTAGGGACAATTTTCTTATTGTTTGTTGTATTCCGATGTTAAATGATCAGATGCTTGCAGGTTTAGGAACAATTTGAAATGCGGAAATTCGAAAATTTAGGACGATTACGAAGGGAAATCGGGTTAGGAATGTGTATAATGAATAACTTGACTACTGAGATTGAGCAAGCGTCTGTTTTTAGCTTGCAGAATTTTGCAAAAATTGACAAACATGTTGACGTGAGTACAACCCAAAATTAGGAAATAGTCTTTTTTAGTAAAATTGGTGACATTTTCTATAAAATTATTTTTGACTTGGTGAGAAAGTTTTTAGGATAAAATGCTTTTACAATAATTATTTAGTGTGCACATAAGTATTTGAATGTTTTATGATCACTGACCACTGTAAATTCTGGGATTTGTTGAGTTTTTTTGTGCAAATGAAGATAGCAGTATAGCACACGGTTGTAGATTTTTTGTTAAATTTTTTTTTGCATGCAACCACTTAAAACGTTGTTAAATACTGATTATCACAAGTTTTAATTTTGCACAAAAAATGTGTCTATAATTTTCATGAATATTTCTATATGTGTACATAAATATGTGTCAGGTTTCGACCTCGGCGAAAAGATAAGTGTTGTCTGGATGGATTTTTTTTCTAATTTTTGGACTCTGCATAAACAATGTGATTAATTGTAACCCCGAATTTTGACCTCATCACGCTTTATGTACGGTCCCTTTAAAAGTGTGACCCTGTAAATGTTACTGCCTGCTAAAAAAATAGTGGATGATTTTGTTGCCTGATTTGTTACTGTCCAGGAGAATTGGTTGTCGTTGTTGTTTTATATGTGTGTATTTCTTTGTATCTTTGCAGCTGGAAGCGGGCGATGTTATCTTGTCAGTAAACGAAAGGGAAGTTGTGAAATTGAGCACGAAAGAAGTATTAAAATGTTTAAGACTGAGTGGAGACATTGTCCACATTAAATTTAAACGAGGTACGTCCCCCCACCCTTAAAAGTGGTCAATTAATTGAGTGATGACCAATAATTATGTAATATCCTCTTGCTCATCCTGCTTAATCTCTTTCTCTTTCTCATAAACTAACTCAACTTACGATGGAGGTCATCCAGCGCATGTTCTCTGATTTTGAGTAAATTAGTGTCAATCGATCATAAATTTAATTAATATGAAATTCACAAAAGACACAGTCTCCCAAAGGTCACGTTTCGCAGAGATATTTGCATCCGAAGAGGAGAAAATGGGCCCCAAAGTCGACCAATTTAACATTTTCAAAATTTTCTGCACGTTTTCTCCTCTTAGGATGGAAATATCTCCGCCAAACGTGCCCATTGGGAGATTGTGCCTTTTGCAAATTTCTTATAAATTAAATTTGTGATCAATTGACACTAATTTGGTTAAAATCGGAGAACGTAGGTTGGGAGACTTCCATTGTATTTAAGTAACAATTTCGTCTGCAAAATATTTTAAAGCTGTTAAAACTTAAAATCTTACATGTTTCCGAAAATGATGATGGCTTGTGACTAACTAACAAATTAACTAACATACTTTCCTCTGCAAACTAACAAACTTTTATTATTAAAAGCTGTGAAGTCATAATTTTATGCTTCCGGAAATTATGATTTTATAATTGTGATTTTGATGAACCATTTCATTCTGATGTAAGCTTTATACGAGGTAATTTTTCTTCTTCTTCTTCTTCTGAGGATGCAATGATTCATTTACTTAACGAGAATTGGAGATAAGAATATGTAATGAATAAAAGGATGAGCCTAAAAAAGACGGATCGAGGTCATGTTACATTTTCTGGAAGGAGAAGATGATAACCAAATAACGATAAGACGTCAGAATGTATGAGTAAGATGATTTAATGACTCAAAATTGGTCACAATAAAGATACGAATGACTCGTAAATATTCCTTGTCTCTGAATTGGTCCGTATGAAACATCTGTGTTGCATGGTGACATTTTCGTCTCGATGTATTTGATTTACCTATTTATTTACGTGGAGAAATTTAACTTTATTTTGTGTCTCGTTCGTAAAAATTTTCAGTGTAATTTATGTATTTTGATAAAAAACGTCCAGTAAATTTTTTGAAAATCTTACAAAGGAATTTTTCTGTCTGAGGTGTCTGAATTTAAAAAAGTTTATTTATGTCGATTTGAAGTGATAGTGAAGGTAAAGAAATCAAAATCAGAGCTTGCAATTAATTAAGTTGGGACAGGTGTGATTTTGATTTCAGACAGATTTTGAGGTAGACAAAGCCACTTGAAGTACTCAAAATCTGGTCTGATTTCAAATTCTGAGCTAATTAATTAATTAACCATCTTCACTTGTCGCCTTCTTCTTTCTCTCTTAATTAATAACGCTTTCTTATACCATGACTGATCGAGTGGCTGGCGAGGTGTCAGTCGCCCACTTGACACTAATCTTCTCATGACATGATTAACCTCCTAATAATAATTTCTATGTATTTATGCACATCTTAATAAATCCTCCCCTTTTCTCTCTCTTCCAGATCCCCACGTCGTAAGCCGGGTACGACAATTCCTCTCAACGCCAAATTATCCCATGGGCGGCGGCGGCGACGTCACACATCACGACAACAATCACGCCCAGCACAATCGTCTCAACCTCCACCAACACTCGTCCCCCTCAAACAGCACAACTCTCCAAGCCAAACCAACCACAATAATAAAACAACGAGTCTAAATTCCAATTCAATCTCCACAACGAAAAGAGGCAGTCAAATTCCCGTCTATCAACCAACCTCTTCCTCCCCGTCACATCGTGTCGTCGTCGCCGCGACGACGACATCGACGCCATCACCCGATCATAAAAAGACTTCCTCCTCCTTCAACGACGAGCTATTTATCAACCACTCGTTCGACCATCACGCCACGTCCTCCTCCGCCAAGGTGCTCCATTCCCCCACCGTGAACAAAGTCCAAGCCCACATCCACACCCTGCAAGACAAACAGCAAGCAGTCCCCACCTCAACGAGGAATGGTGGTGGCGGACGATCCCGAAATTTCGAAACCTTTGTCATGACCGGTGACGCCATTTTATCCAAAGATTTATCAAAAAACGAAGCCAATCCGTTACTCTCCTCGCCCCGGAAGCCGGTCGTAGTCAGAACGATAACCGACGTCGTCATGCCCCGCAAAGAAGAGACGACATGTCTCGTCGACAAGTCTGAATCAGACGACACCCCAACGCCACCCACCTTCCCCCCGCCGCCGAGCGAGCTGAATAATTCGTACAACTCGGACGAGGCGAAATTGCCCCCGCCACCGGTGGAAGTTACTCAACAGCAGCAGAAGAATGGCGGCTGCGGAAAATGTCACGATAAAAAGAAGACGAACGGAGTCACTAAGAAGACGTTTTATCCGAATTATCGGGACGACGTGGAGGACGAGGAGGAGGAGAATTACAGCGGGAATAATACCGAGGATACGAGCATATCGTCGTCCGTGATGAGTGATGATGACGACGACGAGGCGATATGTCGCGACCAGATTTATCCGGGATGTGAAGAAGACGTTGTTGTGGCGGAGGTGGACGCTACGGGGACGACCAGTCCGGTGGCGGGATGCAGTAAAAATTTGATGGGAAATGGAAACGGAAATTATTACAATGGGATCAAAACCGGACCCATTGCGGCGTCGACGACGGGGGTGCAGATGACGAGGGAGGATTCGTACGATGGGGGAGGAGGAGTAGAAAAATCCGGTGGTGGTGGCATTGCTACTGCTTCTTTTGAGAAAGAGAGGTGAGTTAAAATTCCGGTTTTTTAAACTTGTGAGTCCTGTTTTCCGATGGTTGCATGGTGAATGAAAATGATGAATGCTGGTGATGATCTAGTGGTTTGTTTGTATGCACATGCATACGTAAGCGAGAGGATGCGATTAGATAACCAAGAGAGAGGTTTGCATAGTTTGATAAATTTGTGGTGCAAATGAATGGATGGATTTTGACTTGTTTTATGAGGGGCGAGAAGAATCGGTGAGATGAGATTGCGAGTGGATTGGCCAGTCTGATTGGAATTAAAGGCAGACCTGTTTCCCATTTTTTTTTACATGTTTCGATCTCTGTCTCTTCTCGTTCGTGGAATTATAGTGTTGATTAGTTTGTTTTTATTGATTTGCATAAAATCAAAAGAAGACACATATTCAGATTATGGAAATCAATTATTTTAGAGAATAAGCCAGGCAGGGTTTTTAACAGTTTGCGAATTTTTTTGCGAAAAAGAATTCACCACAATTTTTAATGTTGACTGAAAGTCAACCTCAACCCTTGGTGGGAATATCGTTTAAACGGATAGGTAGCATAAATAGGTGGGGATACAAAAAAAATTACCATATTTTTGCAATATTTGGACATTTTTAAATATTATTTTTCCTAATTTTTTCAGATATGCGGAATACATTCTCGTCAACGAATCCGACTTTTCCCCTCGCCATGGCCCCACCACCAACGCTACCACCCCCGGTGGTCCACACCACTCGAATTCTTACTCGCAAGCCATCAATAGCAAGGCAACACCACCGACTAAACACCAAAATTCCCTGCCACGCGACCCGTCGTCCTCCTTCCACGAGGAGGACGAAGACCTCTCCTCATCGTCCACAACGACGTCGACAAACTCAGAAAACGACCCCTTCCAGTCCTCCCAGCAAGAGGGAGGCCCTTCCTCCGCGCGACACAATACGGACTCAATTTCCGGCGGTGAATCAGACTCTTCGGACGTAGAATCCGTATGCGTTCCTCCCGTCACCAAGGCGGTCGATGTCCCCTCCGCCATCCGCCTGGGGAAGAGGCTCTGGGCTCTCGACGGCTTCCGCTCGGGCGACGTGTGGCGTCACTTATGCAAAAATACGGAATACAATCGTATCGTCGCGATCGAATATTTGAGCAACTTTAACTTCACGGGGGAAACGGTGGACGTTGCTTTGAGAAAATTCTTGGCGACGTGTCCCTTAAAGGGTGTGTTGGAAAATTGCGTTACTTTAGGCGAGAAATTGAGACATTTTTTAAAGTTCTTGTAAAAATTGTGAATCTTGTACGCAACAAAAAGTTGACAAATTGTAGCTTTGAATGTCGTGATTTTGGAAATTTCTCATATTTTGGGAAGTCTGGCTTTGTTTTGGAAAAAAATTGTACCATTTTTATAAATTTGTCAAACGAAAAAATTGTGTATTTGTTGCTTTGAATGTTCGTTCGTAAAATTGTGTTCCCAATTTCTCAAATATTTTGGGAAAGTGAAAATCAGATTTTTTTTCAATTTTAATTTGGTTTTGATTTTTTTTTTTTTCAGGCGAGACTCAGGAACGCGAACGGGTCCTGTCGTACTTTGCCCTTCGTTATCTCGAGAACAATCCGGGCTTGCAGTTCTCGTCGCCGGATGCCGTCCACACGATCACGTGCGCGATAATGTTGCTCAACACGGACCTTTATGCCGGTGCCAATAAAGAACGCATGACGTGTCCCCAATTCATTGAAAATCTTTCTGGTCTCAACGACGGGAAAAATTTTAATAAAGAAACGCTAAAACTATTGTACATCTCCGTCCGCAAGAAGCCCCTTGTGTCCCCAGGGTAAGAATAATAATTTGGCAAATATTGTACCAAATTATCGCGACATGGCGAAAATAGTTTGATAAGCAATTCACTCGGGAGGTGTTGTTGTAAACTGTGAAAGTTCTCTTGTTTCAAGGAAAATTCGTCCGAGTGAATTGTTGTAGTAAAACTTTGGAAATTTGTCAAGTTTTTATTTAATTATATGCATTGTGTGGCTTTTTTTAGTGATATCGACGACGCGGTTGTCAACCCAGCTAATCGTGGAGCCCGAATGGGTTTGGAGGATCAAGCCGCAGCCAGTGCAAGTGTGACTGATCTTACGAAAAGTATGGATTACAGGACGGGCTACCTCATGAGGAAGTCAACCCATGAGCTTGGGGGAAAGAAGAGTAAGGCAGAAAAAATTATTTGGACTAATTTTACCAAGTTTTCCAAAATTTTTGCAATTTTAAGTCGTCAATTCGTTTTCATTTTGAACATGTTTTCCATATTTTTCGTTACGTTTTTGGGGGGAGATTTTGATATCTTTTGGGTATAACTTGTCCTGTATTTTATGCTAATTTGTCGTCTCTTTTTTCCTCAGCCCCGTTCGGCAAACGTTCCTGGAAGATATTCTTCTGTCGCTTGAAGGAACTCGTCCTCCTCCTTCTCGCCGATGAGGGAAACTGTTCCGTTCCCACGTACCAAATCAAGCTCCACCACGCTTTCGCCTCCCCCGCGTCTGACTACCGAAAAAGGAAAAATGTTCTCCGCCTCGTTCTCGCGGACAGCTCTCAATTTCTTCTGCAGGCCTCCGACCCCCGCGAACTGACCTCCTGGGTCGAACTGCTGAATTGGAATTCGGCCAGATTTTCCGCTCCCGCTCTCGAAGCACCAATCTCTTCGACGGGCCGTTTTCAGAAACCTCTTCTGCCAAGTTGTATCACTGCGTTGTGTCGCGACGAGCAGGTCGCGACACACCTGAGGGCGCAGCAGCATTGGGAAAAACAGTTGGGATTTTACACCCCACCGGTTAAGGTATGTATTAAAAATGCACTACAACTAATGAAAAGATAAGTTAGGAACAAATTACTCTGTAAATTACCTAGTTTTTAGGCCTTTTAAGATGGCCTTATAGATTTGTCAAGATGTCCGTCCGTCTGTAGGCACGATAACTCTCTTTATACAAAAGCTATCGAGTTGAAATTTTGCATGCTTCATCTTCGGGTCAAAAGTAAGGATGAGTTCGGAGATGAGCATGATCGGTCAAGTGGTTGGCCGGTCATTTCTACCCAAATGTGTTGCCATTAACTACCAAGATGGTATTAATGCCATGTTAAAAGGCCCCGCAAAGTTGCTTGGAGTAGGTTTTTTAAACTGGGGAGATTTGGATTTTGGAATTTTCAAGTAGTTTCAGTTTTGAAAAAATGAGTTTCGAATTGTTAGACTTGTGATGTTTTAATGTTCGAATTTTAAGACGTACTTGTCCCTGCAAGAAGTTTGCATATTTGTGCAAAAAAAACGTGTACAAAAATTAAGCAATTAATTATAAATTGATCTTTTTTAGGTCACCCCAATTAAGACTTTGTTTGCATGTGCAAATTGTTTGCCAATTTTTCACATTGACTTTCGAATAGATTTAGAATGTTTTCATATTTGAATTTTTCAACTACACTTTTTCCTCTAACGATTTTATCTTTATCGTAAAAATCTATGCAAAAATTATCCATACTAAAAAATTCCCCCTATTTTATTCCCAGGAGGTCCCCCCACCGAAGAAAGGGAAAGGAAAGGTCTCCTCCTCTAGCGATCAACCAGCCGGCGCCAGTAGTCTACCGCCACCTCCACCACCCCCATTCTCATCAACCTCCACCTCCAACCCCCCCTTTCCGCCGCTCCTCCTCCTCTCCTATGCCCACGTGAAGAAGGAGGACCGCGAAAAGGTGTTGTTTTTCCAGTCAGAAATCCTCCGATATCACACGTACTTAACCCTCCTCGAGAAACTCGGACAATCCGATCCCCATGTCGGGCAAGATAACCAACAACAGGCACCATCATCTCCGCCGCCGCCCGTAGATCTCAACCGCCTCCCGAACAACATCCCACCCATCATTCTGCACGAGGAGGAAGACGACGACTAGAGAAATAAAAAATGAAACTGTAGTATCATTTCCTGTCACATTTCCACTTTTTATGATTTCCTAAAAAAACTTTCCTTATTATGAAATAGAGCACAAAAAGAGTACGAATTGGTGTTCGGTGTGAAAACAAAAATTAATTGGTGTAAAATTAGATACGCAGTGTTCCAACTTCAAAAAATAACGTGTTACAAATTAGTCAGTATCATAATTAACGGTGTAATCTACTTCTGTATTCTTGTAAACTGTGTATGTAATTAACTGACAATTACACATTTAACAATTCCTAATTGTTAAAATTCTCATAACTTCTATTTGCATTCTTGTAATCTGTTAATCGTTCTATTCACTAATAATGGATAATTAATTAATTATTAGTAATATATAGTTAACCATTTCCCAAAATTTGGGAAATTTAAGTTGGTAATTAGCGGAACAAAAAAGTTAGGAATTTGGGTTTTCGAGGATGGAATGAAATGTTAATTTAAAAGTCGTGAGTAGAATTACGACAGTGAAACGGCCCACCAAATGCGGGTGGGAGGAGGGGTGTGGACGTTTGACTGTCGTGATTCTAGTCACGACTGATCAGAGAAGGAGGAGGAGAGGTTGGTTTACAGTTAGTTAATTAATTGTTCATTAATTACTCATTAGTCATTAATCTCTCATTGTCGTCTCGTCTCGTAATTAATTTACATACATGGAAAGCAACTCGTAATTCACACGTTACCGAAGAAAAGAAAGAAACGAAACTGGAAAAGTCTGTTTTGCTCGTACGTAAGGAAAGGAAAAATCTGATATTTTGTACTAATTTTTCTGTTTTAGAAACTTGATTACCTGAAATTTTGATGGAAAATGTGCAGCAATACTGTTGGATTTTGGAACGAAATGAAATTTACCTGTCAGTGTTGTAAATCGTGAATTGTTGTCGTTTTAGCATTTTTCTCTTCTTTAAAGGATCTCTGTTTTGAGTTGGTTGTAAATTAGTGAGCCGATTCGGGAGGATGTTTGTAAATTTAAAATCTGGAAATTTTTTCAATTTGATGGCGTGTCTTACGATTAAAATTGTAAAAGTATACAAAATTCACCCAGCTTACGAACAAGTTTTTCCACAATTTTGTAGAAAAGGTGTAAAAAATTAGGATGCAAAATCAGGTTACAAATCTCTTGTAAAAGCATAGTTCGACGAGTATTTTTCAATAATTAAAAATTCCAAAATTTATTAAGTTTGCACAGTTTTGCACTTGTGCAAAAAATTAGGAACTTGAACAAGATTAGAAATCTCTTGTAAACTTAAACCGTTCGATTCGAGGGCGTCTCTTTGACTTGTAAAAAAAGTTACAAAATTGCAAAATTATTTTTGCACAGTTTACAAACATCCGAGTGAATCGTCTCATTAAAAAATTTACTATTTTACATTTATTTATTAGTCACACGTGAGATTAAGTTGGTTGGTTGGTTAATAACGATCTAAATATTTACTCTCTGGTCTGCGCAGTGGTCTTGTCTCTGGGAAATATTAGCTTACGATATTACTAATTAATTATGATATTAATTAACTCATCGTCACAAATAGTAGATAAGAAATGAACGGAAATTATGAAAATGGAAAGGTGTGGCTTTTTGATAAGACTTGGAAAACGGGTTGGATTTCAAATTTCGAAAAAAAGTTGACTGATTGAAGTACATACTCGAAGACAGGGGCCACGGCAAGGCAGCATTAGCTATCAATAAATGACGAAAGTTTGGCTTGGCAGAATTGTTTGCGAAAAAATTCGCAACTTGTGAGAGGTCTAAACTATGTAAATATTATAATTATATATGTATCTCTAACTTGTACATTAAAAGTTAAACCATGGGGAGAAGCAGCTTGAATTCTTATTAGGATAAAAAAGAACAAGTATTACGAAACAAAAGTGTATGTATAACTAGCAATTTGCATAGTTAGTTTACAAAGTTGGACATGAATCGATGGTAATTTTGGGTTTGTTATTAATCAGTCATGGAAAAAAGCTAGAGGAACTCGCAATTAACGTGGATGTTTGTAACGCAGTAAATTTCGGAAAATTACAAATTAGCGGTATCGAGTATATGAAATTAAATGGTGTCTATTTTCTCTTAATTTTGAAAAAAATCATTCACGCTGATCTGTGGAAACTTTGTAATAATCAAAATTTGAAAAAATCTTTCCGTTTATGTATAAATTTGCAAAGGTTACGAAGCGAAATTAAATACACATCAAATTAGCGTCGCTATTTTGTTAAAATTTGTGTAGCATATTTTTTTGCAAAAGTCTAATTTCACAAATTTTACTGCGTTACAAACATTCGGGTGAATTGTCTTAATAACAACTGGGAATTTGATAGCTTTGGCATTTAGCAAGAACACTGGGAAGTTAAAATTTTGCCAGGATTTCGCAAATTTTTTAGTCAGAATTTTACCTAATGAGTACTCTGAGAAGGATATTAAAATCGGAAAAAAATCGTGTCACACATATTTACCATCGGATATCAGCAACCAAAAACCAGTTCATAATACTCTTAAATGTTAAATGTTAGGCTAAATATTTACATAATTATGCAACTAAAAAATTCGTGTCGTGACTATAATTTTGGATAAATACATGTTTAGCATTTAATCAATCTCAGGTAAATAATTAATAACTAATGAATTAAGATGGTATCTATTTATCACCATTTTCATCAAAACGGCGGCTATAATTAATTTAATGAAATCGTTAACTAATTAATTAATTAATCAGTATCTTTTCGTGGACAATAAGAGTTTAGGCGAAAAATTTGAAATTAGAAATCTTGTGTCAAACCTCAAATCATGTATTTAGAAATGAAGCGCTTTAAACTAACAGGAAAATCTGGATTGAGTCAATTGTTTTACGGAAAACTGTGTAAACTGCGCAAAAATTGCAGACATAAAATCATGAGATGCATTTTTTGTTCAAAATAATTGCAGAAACAAAACTCCCGATTTGCAAAAATTTGCAGCATAAATTTACACAGTTTACAAAGTTGACGTGACCATTACCTGCGCAGTATTGTATTGAAAATTTGTAAGAAATCGTGACATTTTAGATTTTAAAATTACAGAAAATTTTCGAAAATCGCTGGAATGAAAAAGAAAAAGGACTTTTGATAGATGACACACGGGCTCGGTGTCCATCGAAATTCCTTTTTTATAGCGTCATTAGAAATGAATTGATTAATAAATCTGGACAAAATCGGATTTTCGATAGTCCAAATTTTTGCCTAGATTTATTAAGAGTGCAAAAAAGAAGTATTTCGTAAAAGGTGCGATATTAAGAAGATAATGGTTCCAAATCCAAAACTGGAGATTAAACATAAATAGATCAGATTTTGCACAAATTTCGCAAATCTGATTGGATTTTGTGTAATATAAGTCAGACAAATTTACGCAGCTGCAAAATTACAGATAAGCCGTTTATGATGGATCGATGGAAAATTGTTACTGTTCGAGATTGATAACACAAAAAGGTGAGATTATGGAGCAGATAAGGTAAATACATAACGATGATAAGCTCGCAGGATAAGCTGTACATTTAAAACGTAACGATAACTTACAATACTTTTAAGAAGTGTAGAAATGCAAAAATTGTAAAAATGTAAAAACTGTTGTAAAAAATAGCAAATTTGCAAAAAATTATTAATGTAATTTTTGGTCTCATGTTGATCGATCATTAAAATTAAATATGCTAATTATTGTTACGTAAATTAAGGTGCTACTTCTACTTTAACCATTCTCTAGTTCTCCTACAGAACTATTTAATTAATTAATTTGTTCTTTAATTATTTTGCAAAATAGGGAAAAAACACTGAGGGAGCGTCCATAAATCACGTGATCGATTTTCGGACAATTTTGACCCCCTCCCCCCCCTTGGTGACCAATGGTGATAAATTCATTACCCCCCCCCCCCGCGGTCACGTGACAGGATACACATTAAACCTAAAGTAATGTAAAACGCATGAAACCTATTTCTCGCCAAGTGTGATTTTTTGTGGCGAATTTTTTTTCGCAAAAAGTTTTTTCACCAAACTGACCTATTTCCGACAGGACAACACATGGCACAAAATAATCCAATAATGATATTCCTGGGCCTTTTCAAATCCGCAGTTAAATTAAATTTTAAACGAGAGCGTAATGAGAGCAGCTACCATGGCTTGGTAGCAATAAATTTCTAGGTTTTGCTACCACTTTGCTTAGAGTTTAATTTAAAATTCATGACATCTTAAGGACAACTGTATACACTTATAATCTGAAAGAATAATGAGAGTTCTATGAATGTGCAATGAAACTTGGAATAGTGATATATATATATATAAACCAGACCCAAGATTGTCAATCAAAATTTAAAAATACGCCGTATTACGAATTTAAGATAAAAAGAGGTTAACGATTAAGTATTTAAATACATATTATGTGTCAAGTTTATTTACATCCAAAATTAAAAGAAAGACTTTTCGTGGTATGTCACGTGACTGCCGACCATTACCACCGCCCCCCGGTGATAGAACGTGACAAATTTCGGACCCCTCCCCCCCTATGATCGATCACGTGATTTATGGACGCTCTCTGATTAATTAATCATTTCGCAAACTAAATAGACTAAAAATGGACTGAATTTTAGTTAATAGTCAGTTAATTAACTCTAATTAATTTTTAAATTGCATTTATTTAGTTTTTCGCCAAGTCCAAGTCACACACGAAACAATGCAATTTTAAACGCTCTGCTTATCAAAAAAAGAATAATAACGCGCAGCTAGCTACTAAATTGTAGGAAAAACATCAGAAAATACATTTATGAAATTTCAAACAAAATTTTTTACCAGTATTTAAAAAAATATTCCGTAATTTTATAATTTTTGTACGTCTTTCTGAAAAGTTGGGGGGATGAGGAAAATTTCTGTCAAATTAAGAAACGTTGGTTAAAATTAAGTCGCCCAATTTGACTCGAAAAGCGAAAAAACTTTTTATCAAAATATGAAATTGTAAATAAAAAAAACATCTTGAAATTTTGGTGGAGAAAAATCAGAGTTCAAATTTGAAAATGGGACAACAATTAGAAAATTTTAGGTATAAAAAAAACGTGTAATTAATTTAAAATCTCTACATGTCGTGTTTAATGTTTGGAAAAAACGGACTAAAAATTGTACCTATAAATAAAGTTTACTTAACTTTAATGCAAAAACTATTTTTCAAAAATGAGCTGAATTTTAGAAATTGTTTGGAGAAGAAAAAACTGGAAATTAAATTACATAATTTCTGAGTCAAGTTAGTCAGTGGTTGGTTGTGTAAGAAGAAGAAAGTGATTTAGTTGATGATGGTAAAATATTAAGTTGGGTTAAAAATATGATCAATTATTGTAATTAATTAGAATGGTTAAAGTTTATTTATTTATTTATGGATTTATTTATTAAGGATTTTTAATCAGCGGACAGTTGTTTGATTAAAATACGATTTGAGATTGAAACCTTGAAAATAAATTAACCGATTTTGAACCGTTGTGATCCTATAATAATGGTGTTGTTAAGAATTATTTGCATATACGGAGTAATCTTTGAGCATATAGTATATTCGGATTCAACTTTGCATATGTAATTATAGTCATTAAATTGATAAGGTCATTTATTTTTTGCATACGGTTCGTTATTTTTGCATAAAAAACGTTGTTTATCATAATGTTTAGTAGTTATTTTTACATTTTAGTTTTCATTTTGATGGATGGATGGAGATTTTATTCCACTTTCCTAATCGTTTTTTTTTATTTATCCCCAATTTTATAAGCAACTTTTTCCCTTCACAGTCCAGATATTTATTGAACAACATTTATTATGGAAGATTGTATTACACCAAAAACTCACCTCATGCATATTTAACTACATCACATAGTAATATATACTTAAATCGGCATCTAGTAAAACAAATTGGTAGAAATTTTCTGCGTAACACCGTTTTGGGAAAAAAAATCTTGACACTAAAAGTGAAACAAACAAATTCAATTAAATTCTTGTATCAAAACATAAGGGAATCTAGATTATAATTCGACATTGATAAATTCATAAAAAATAAAGTCCGGCGTGGATAATAGACAAATAAACAAAGTTACAGAAAATTTGTCAGATACCAAATTTTAAGGTAAATTTAAATTTCATGGCCAAAATTTCATGCACATTTTAAGATTCCTATTATTTTTAATTTGCACAATGCGTTATTTTAAGTTCAGTTTTCATTTTATATAGATTTTTATTTTTACACTCTCATATTTTTTGAAAATTATCGTGAATTTAGAATATTGGGAAACTTTTCAGTCTGGAAATTCCAGTTATTCATTGAATATACATTTATTACAAATGATTGTGTAATAATTTTTACTCAAATTGACATTTAATTACAAATGATTGTGTAATAATTTTTACTCAAATTGACATTTAATTAAAACAATTTGGTAGAAGTTTTTTGTGCAAAAACTTTTCGGAATTGTTGTTACAATGAGATCAATATCATATCAGTAATCATAATTAATCAGTAATCAAAATTTTGAAAATCTCGATATAACACTTACATCAGAATATTATAATACACTTACTAAAATAAATTCAATTCAATTTGAATGACAAACTAACTGTATCTGAATTATAATTAAATATTTTTGCAAATTAACAAAAATAAAGTCGGCGTCAATAGTAGACAAATTAAACAAAGTTACAAAAAATTTATTGGTCAGATATTTCATACACATTTCGTTTTAAAACCGTGGTAAAATTCCCCATATTTTGCATAACATCGAACTATTATGTTGCATGTTTTTCTGCAAATATTACGCGAATTTACGTATTGATTAAACTGCACAATGAAATGAATGACACATTCGAGATGCATGCGAATTTAATTCAACCTTGATGCTGAATTAGGGTTAAATTATGGTCATTATTGCGAATATAATATTTATCTCCTCTGTTGGCTGAATAAAACTTTCCATTATTTTTTGCACATCACTCATCCCATCACTCACGAATTGCGCATCGGATCTCATGTTTGTGGTTTTTGCAGATGCAGATTAAATATAACCGAATATTCTTTGATATAATTTTTCGCAATATTTATTTACTCAATATATATTCATATATATAACCCTTTTATCATATCATTTATTTAACTGCAACTCGACACATTTTTCACATTGGCAAAAAATCGTACCCCATTTTCTTAAAGTAAACGTAACAAATATCATGTATGTATATTCGCAATTATGTAATTAAAGTAATAATAATTAAATTAACTATATGTTTTTCTCACTCCGTGGCGGTGGCGATGCTGTCGGGATAATGATTGACAATAAATGTTTGTATGTAAGTACGGTACAGTAGTTTAGTTTAGTGTGGAGGCCAGAATTATAGTACAGTAATTACAGCTAAGTCAAAATTTAGTAAGTTTACGTACAATTAATAAATTTTGCGTATTAAATTGCACAGTAGAATTGATTGCGTGTTTAGTATTTAAACAGAGAAACAATAAGAAATTACTCGAGAAGAATGGAATTCTTTTCTTTCCTGACTCGTCACTCGACTGGCATTTATTTTCTTACAAAGTAATCAGTAATTAATTTCAATATTTTATGTAATCAGTGATTTAGAAGACGATGAAAAATTCCAGTCAGAAAAATTCATTAAACTGTTTTGAAATAAATTGAACTTTTTAAAATTTAGAAACTATCTCGTCATAATCTTAATCTTGTGATGCGATGAATTCAGTCGAATTTGGTTTCTTCTTTCGGTTTTGAATTTGCTTGGTTGGTGGAATCGTTAGAAGAATTTTTGTTCTTTTTGAAATCGTAGAAATGGAAGTTGTGATGAGAGAGATTTTTGAGGAATTTTTAGAATGTCCAGGTTTTGTGTTCTTCTTTAGTTTATCCCATGCGGATGGATTGGATGATTTGGAAAACGGCTATTTTTAAAGGAAGGAAAAATGTTCATGCAATTAGTTTCATAATTAATTAGAAATGGTCATTTTCAGCAGATACAATTATCTATTTTTTAGAGAAAAGTTCATCTAGTGATTGGTGAATTAAATGAGTCTATTTTTGTAAAAATTTGGAAAATTTAGCATCAAGAAGTAAACTTAACTTGTAAAAGATCAAAGATACTAAATTAAAAACGTGAGAATAATTAGCAACCCATCCATAACTAAAAGTTTGAAGTCCAAATTGTACATCGTAATTAATTATCACATCACAAAAATCTACCATATGGACAAAATCTTCCCTCTTCTATCTAACAATCTAAAAATATAAATCATTTAACCGTTACTTTCACCAAAATCTGACCCTTTTCTGATTTAAAAATAGATTTTTTTCCACATCACTCAAACAAACAAGACTTTCAAATTTTTCAACTTTCAAAATTCCATTCTCTTTTTCATTTCAAAATCTAAATTTCTCCTTACCAGATCCGCACACGACGAAAAGGAAAAGACCCATGAGCCAGGGAGCGACGGGGTACTTATCTTCGGTGGCGCGCTGTTATCAAAATAAAAACAAATAAAAATTTGAAATTCCATCTAGAAAAAAAAGACCAGTATTTTTATTTTTATTTACCGTCGACTTTGGTACATTTCCCCTCAACTCGAGCGCTTTCTTGGCCTTCTCGTTCGCCACTTTCATCCTCTGTTGGGCACCCATTATGAATTCTTACTTTTCAAAATTTCTCGTAAAATTTATGAAAATTAAAAACGAGAGCTGAGAGACGACTGACTACTCACACAGAGGACTTCAACCAAAAGACGGAGAAAGTTTTTGGATTGTGGACGTGGTTGGTTGGTTGGTTTACGGTGGTGGTGGTGGTGATTTGACAGGGTGTCGTAAATGAAAGGGTTAAATGGCTTAATTTTTAAAAAATTAGGTAAAATCAGGTCAAAAATTTTGAAAAAAAAAATTAAATCAAATGTTTTCAACCAGAACTAAATTTATGATCAGGATTGGAAATAAATTTGATGGCGAAATGACGCCAATCATGAAAAAGAAGTGTCACCCTGGACGAAAAAAGAGTGTGACGTAGACACAACCGGTTCTTTTCTGCTACGGGGGCGTTAAAAGTTAAGCATTGTGTGGATTAGAATTTGGATTGCGAATTGGTTTATAATAACAAAGATGAGATGAGGGGTTGCTAAAAAAGTTAGTAAATTGGTAATGATGACCGAGTGACAACGTGGCATTGCACCGTGCCACACATGCATATGCAGATATAGATTTACATGAAAAGATGACGGTATTTTTGGGATGATGAATTTTCAAAATTATGCATGATTTCGGCGATAAGTAAGACGATGATAAGGAAGATTAACGGAATTTTAAGACGAGGTTGTGGTTAAGGGTCAATTGTACAGAATTTTTGAAATTTTTGAAAATAAATAGTTATGAATTTGACGCCGGCGATAAGGGATAAATATGTATATGGATGCACGAACAAGATGAGGTTATCGTATTAATTTGTAACGAAGGATTTACACTAATTAATTATTGAGTAATTATATCTTGTAAAAAAAATGAATAAAAAAAATTATTGAGGTAATTTGCCAGTTAATTTTTTCATAATTCGTAGTCGTCCCTGATACCCAGGCCGAATTGAGTCCTGAGTCCTTTCCAGACCCGGAGGAAATTCATGCTCAATAATTTATCGGCTGGATATTTGCATTTATTCCCGTACTTTGAGGAACACCCTCTTCGGCCGAGATTCATTCCAGTGTCGGACGCAGTGGTAAAGGTTTTGTATAAAGTTGTTCCATTTTTTTGAGGAGGGGATGGAATTTGTAAATGATTTATGATCATGTCCGATACCGGGTAAAAGGTGGACGGATCGGAGGAAAACTCACAGATTGCGCGGAGTTGGCAGGTATGCTCGGAAATCTGCCGAAAAAATTTTTAAAATCAGCATCAGCCAGATTTTCAAACTCAAAATTTCTGATTCACTTACGTCCAAGAGTTCGAAATAAGCTGAAATTTTGTCCAAGTGTTTTTGTACGAGGGGATCGTCGTCTTCGAAAAGGGGTTCGTCGTCAGATTGTGGCGATGACCGCTTGCTCCTCCTCCGTCGCCACTTATTGAAGAGATTGCTCATCTGTGGGAGCACTATCGTGATGGGGATAACGCAGAGGAACCCGACATCCAAATTTGACTGTACGTTGAGATACACGTACCGTTTTTGTCGTGAAGAAGGGTGATGGTTTTCTTCTTGGAGAAATGTGACGTATTCGGTGTCGTATTTTGTTACGTTGGTCGACATCGATTCGGTGACACTTTGCTCGGGGGAAATTATTGATTGAGGGAAAAATTGTACATTTCGAGGGGACGAAGATTGTACCGAGGAAAAATAGAAGACAAAAATTAAGTAAAATAAGTTTCTGAAAAATAATCCCATAGATTTTGAGGACCTTAAATTTTCCGACATTTTAAAATCTAACATTCAGTGTAAAACTGAACGTAAAATGGGACCAAACTTTAACCAAAAAGAGTCAGTTCTAAGGTATAAATTAGCAATTAAATTAAGGTGGAAATTTCTTCCTTGTTGAATTAACTAGATTTTAATGTGACTCTTTAGCACCCAGTTTAAATATAAATTAAGTAGAAAATTAGCTATACAAATTAGGTTAGAGTGGAATGGTGCGGAAACACTTGTAAAATCCGTCCGGCCCAGAAGTGAATCTCGTGGCTAATTTTATCTCTGTGATGTCCACGACGCCAAAGTCGTAATCTTTGAATTCCTAATAGTAAATAAATATGAATTATTTATGAAAATTAAAATCAGGTTTAAAATTGTGTCTTATTTTTTAGCATACTTTTAGAATTTGACTGGCATCAAAAGTTTTTCGGGATATTTTCTTACAAAATTTTACAGATTCGGAGGGGAATGATTGGTCAGTCTTATCTGGAATGAGGCGTTCCGCTTTTTTGAGAGAATTCATCATCGTGCAATGCAACTTGACGTGGTCGCCGCGAGCCTGTCTCGATAAGCCTAAGGAGGAAAAGAGATAAGAATGAGATGACTTCTCAAAGCAATGCACAAAACTACAGAAATTGCTATCTTACCCGACTTATCGAACTTTTTTGCAATATAATCTGCCATTTGTTGTAACACGTCCCCCTTGTCGTGGCATTTCGCGTATACAATGTCGACCTGGGTGGGATCATCATTCATGATTTCGAGTTCTTTCAGATGCACGGTTATTTTTCCGGTGTGGCCGAGTTGTCTGGAAAACAGATACAATGTTTAGGTTATCTTTTAATTCATTTTGTAAGCATTCTGGTACAGAAAAATACTTGGAAATCTCCTTCTGCGCCTGCTCCAAAACCTGGGCCGCCTTTTCTCTCTCTTTCTCGTCGAACAAGGTCGTAACGCAGATCGTTATGTGACACTTTTCCGCTTCGAGAAATAGGAAAGGATCCGCCCCGGCGATGCGTGACGTGACCTCCTCCTAGTTTTAAATTATTGCGTGAGCAATTCATTTTTAAAATATGCCCCTTTTTTAATTAATTTTGTACCTTGAAGTCCTTAATTCTCTGAATAACTGCTGCGCTATTGACAGGAAAACAGGCAAAATGTGTCGCATCGCATTTTATCCTAGTTTGCCACATTAATTCATCAATTCTTCTACGTGCGTGGCGAACAGTGAGTATGGAACGACCTTCGACCTCTGCGCAATGAATGGTACGCACACATTAGTTAGTTATGACCTAATTAATGTCATCTATTCTTCACCAATAAATCCCTTAGCGTTCTGCCTCGGAACGATAATCTTAGTCTTTGTCTCCTTCTCAAGTCTCGACTTGGTGGATCCCTTCGTACCAATAACCACGGCATAAAGTTGGGATGGAACATTATCGCAGATCGACTTGAAGTAATCGCCCTTATTTTCGATAAGGTATTCGTTATCATTGTCGCCAAGCTCGTCGGAGCCCCCTACACAAACTAAAAAACAATTAAAAAAACTGCTTTTCACAAATTAAGTGTCCATTCCATTATTCAAAACTTACAACCATACTCGTCCTCCTCAACGTACGGTTTGTTCTGACCGTTTCCTCCAGTATCTCCCTGTTTCTGAAGGCCTGGCGGAGGTCGGGAAGACGAAGATAAGGACGGGAACTTATCATTTTTCCCCGCAGAATTATTCTCCGAACTGCTCCAAAATTTCTGCTGGGCCGCAACACACCTCGTTTTCGACGGGTTTCTTCTATAACAACGGTCATCAATCCAGTACGTGTCGGGGGTCAAGATGTCCATGATGAAGGGTCGGAAATTAATTTTTTTCCAAAAAACTGACCAAAATTGTGTCAAAAAAGTGCCGACTTTTGTTATTTTTTTACCCCGACAGTGCACCCCGCGCAGGTTGCAAAAGTCAGGGTGGGAGAGAGAGAGACACCAACTTCGTCTTCTTCGTCATTATTTTAATTATTATTTATTTGTTTCGCCACTTTCGACATGAAGTCGTCGTTGTCGTCGACTTCCTCCCGCAATAATTCGAGTTTTCTCCGTAATGCGTCCGCGACGTCGATCTCCTCCCAGGGAGGGAGTGGTGGTGGTGGAGATGCCTTGGCGAGAAGGGTGGCTGAACTTTATAAACATTTGACGGGTGGGAAAGGTAAATAAGCAAGATTTTTAATTGTTTTGTAGTTAAAGTTAATTGCTAAAGGGTTAATTGTGACGGGGGGATGATGTGAAGAGAGGAAGGGGAACGGAGAATTTGGAGAGATTTTGATTTTAACATGTTCTGATCTTGTTTGTTTACAAATTGTTTTGTTGAATATTTGGCCAAATTACGATAACTGTTTATAGAATTTACAAATTCTAATTACAATTTTTATGAAATGACAAAATTGTAATTTACTTTCTATGTTACTTTCTATCGTCACAAAAGTCTAATCAAATTATTAATTAATTTAATTACTTATCTCTTCCAGTAATTGGGGACCGTGATCTCTGCGAGGTCGTCTCCTCCCTGACCTACACCTCTGAACCTACTAACACCCAGAATGAGACCAGATTAATAGAAAAGCTCAAACTCCACTTGATCCATCAAGATCGTGCCGTCGAGTCGAAACGGTTTCTCGAACTGTCCCAAAAACTGAGAGGAATCCCCCTCCTCAAAAATCGTGAAGCCATGATCACCCTCTTTTTCGACCTCTTTGATAAGGAACCAACCCGTGCAGCGATACAAGCAAGACGCGCAGCCAGAGGTCAACCTCCCCTCATGACGCCTCGACAACAATCCGACCCCAACAGTAACCTCGAATTCGACGGGTTCACCCCCATGCCGACCTTTTCATTCGTATCGGATCGTGCAATGAGTGATAAAATTCATCGCAGCGTGAGCAACGTGCCCTCTTTGACGTCGCCACCGTCGTCGACGTCGACGCGTCCAGCAGGACATCCTATGACGGACAGCGGCTATGGAGCGAATAACAATAATAACATGGAGAAACTTCTGAACAATGGGGGTAGCCTTTTGCCCAGTAAAGTTATCGCGTTTCCTGTCGATCACCAAGGAGGAGGAGGTCGTAGACCGTTTGTTAGTGGAAGTAGTGGTGGAGGTGGAATGACCCAGTCGATCTCGATGGGGAACGGAAGAGGGGGACGAAGTGAGCTGCATTTATTTGGTAAAAATGATGCCGCCCCTGTTAATAAAATGAATGGACATCCTCGCACGAGTGGTGGTGGTGGAGGATTGTGTAAGTGGGCAGTTAATAATTAATTTGTGGTGACTTGATCCAATTTTGCGAAAAATTTCAAGTTAATTAATATTTTACAATAATTTTGTAGATCTGTCGCCCCGACAAATTGAGAAAGATTTGATCCGTGATCTAATCTTCGTCTTCCAAGGGATTGACGGTGCCATGATTAAATGTGATGCGAAAGGAAATTTCAACGTTGCTGCAAAGGTAGCAGTCAGAATATCCCAGTGTAGATAAATAAGCATTGATTACCTTATCGTTCAATTGATTTAATTTGATTATCCAGAAACCGATCCATCCCGGATCTCGCCTCCAAGCCCTCCGCCTCGCCGAACTGGGCTACTTTTACAAACAAATTCGCACCTATTGCGACACTGCGAGGGTGGGACTTATGGCACAAGGCTTGAAACATGCGTTGGACATCGAACTCCAAGAATATTATCGTCTCCTCGCCATCGTGCAAGGACAGGTGGGTCGCCAAATTAATTTTTAACAATTTCGCCCATAAACGTTCTTCACATTTGCAACTACTTGTCTTTTTAGAAAATTTTGAAATTCTTTTAGATTTTCTTTACGTTTGATTGTCTATTTTTCTTCCGATAATTATTTTCGAGGTCTCAATTGCAAAGTTTTTGTAACAAATTGGTTTTTTACTAGATTTAAAGAAACGTAAATTTGATGTTAATTATGTTCTAATTTTTCTCCCAGGTCCAACAAACCACAATCATAGCTGACACCCCTCTTAGCGAGCAGCTTCCGTTAACCTCCCCCGGGGAAGAGATGACCCTTTTAAAACTGACCGTCTGGATGTGGGACATTCGCCCCCGTCTCGACGCCCTCTCCTCGATCATCACGACTTGTGAATCCTTCAAAGGCGGCGAGCTGTGTTCCATGCTCTATAAATATTCTCACCACGGTGACCCCATGATTCGCGCCGTGACGAAGTCACTCCTCTCCACAACGGCAAAACCCCTCTACTTGATGTTATGCCAGTGGATCCTCTACGGCGAGTTGGAAGATCCCTACGGAGAATTTTTCATCGAGGCGGACATCTCCTGCAAAAAGGAGCGCTTGTGGCACGCAAAGTATCACATTCGGTGAGCCAGGAATTTGTAAATGGTTCAAAATTGAGGAAATTTGCACACAAAATTTGAAAAATTCCGATTTCATTTAAAATGCAATTCACTTTTTTCAGATCTTCCATGCTCCCTTCGTTTATCTCGATCAAGCAGGCCGAACGCGTTTTGGCGACGGGAAAAAACATCAACTTTTTGAAAGATATTTGTCATCATAATCAAGGTTATGAGGGGCGTGGACGGATAAAAGAGTGGCTCGCGGATAACCCAGGTTAGCGGTTTGGGTGTATTTTTATAATGATTTGCGTTTAATTTAAAATTGGTGGATTTTTTAGTCGACTGCATGTTCACCGAGGACGACAAAGTGTTAACCACCGTGATCGAGAAAGCGTACAAGACCACGTCTAAAATGGTTTTAGAAGTTTTAATCAATGAATCCAAGCTGATCGATCATTTAAAAGCGTTAAAACACTACTTGCTCCTCGGTCAAGGAGATTTTATCCAACATTTGCTCGAACTTGTGCAGTAAGTATTTTTTTGCATACATATTTTCGTAAATTTAGTGCAATTTGATTTTAAAAAATGTATTTTTTAGAGAGGAGCTGCAAAAACCTGCCAACAAGCTGTACACGCATAACATCTCCGCCATTCTGGAATCCGCCGTTCGCGCGACGAACGCACAGTTCGAACCGGAGGAAATCCTGTGTCGCCTTGATACCCGGATTTTACCCGTGAACGATCGTGACCTTGGTTGGGACGTGTTTTGCCTCGATTACAAAGTGCACGGTCCGATCGGTACGGTTCTCACGGAGGACGACATGATCCGTTATAATCAATTGTTCAACGCGTTATGGCGATTTAAGAGGATCGAGATGATTCTAAGTACATTGTGGAAAGATCAAACCGCCCTGTTCAAGTTTCAAAGGGTGATTCCGGGTAAGATTTTTGGAACACTTTTTCATGAAATTTTATAAAAACTTTGATATATATTTCCAGAATTGGGTCCAGTTCTTCACCGTTCGCAGCTCTTAATCTCAGAAATGATCCATTTTGTCCACCAAACGCAATATTATATCATGTTCGAGGCGACCGAGTGTGCATGGGACAGATTGATGGAGGAGGTGGTGACCACATTTAAAAATAATAAAATGCCACATTTAATTAAAAATGTCACATTTTTTGCCATGAGACTTACTCTACTTATTTGTCCCCTTAGGTTTCCCGGTCTGTTGATCTCGACGAAATCATTTCCGCTCACCACCGCTTCCTCGAAGCCATCACGTCTCGATCCCTTCTCGACTTAAAAAACCGCGAGTTGCTCAACCAACTCCGTGGAATTTTCGACTCTGTCCACGAACTGAAATCGTTCCTCTCTGACTTTGAATCAGAAGTGGAGAAGGAACTCGCCCACCGAAAAAACACCCTCACCTCGTCCGACCCCATCTCGCAAACCAAAGAATTCTTCACATCCTACATCCGCCACGCGAAAGGCAAGATAGAAACGCTCCACACAACGACGCAAGACCTCGTGCGATCTTTCCTGCTCGTGCTAAATCGCCAACCCGACTTGACCCTGCAATGTCTCTCGTTCCGCCTCGACTTCAATGAATATTATCACTTTAAAGATTTCCGTTTGTCTCAACCCCTCACGCTTCAGCAGAGGCGCATGTCCTCCAACACCTTCGACCCGACCAACATCCGCATGACGACGTCCGGCCTGAACCAATCATTATTTAATTCTTCCTCCATCCTGGAGAGCTTCGGTGAATAAAAAAACCGGAGTTTCGACGGGGTGGGTAACACAGGTAGAAGAAAACGTGTAAGGTAGCAATAATTATTTAATGAGGATTTTTTGTGTTGTAAAATCGAGTAGTAGACAAAAAAGTTATGTAAATTGTAAAATTTCGAAGGGAGGAAGAAAGGGTGGGATTTATGATAGATTTGTAACACCTGATGTGTCATCGTGATCTGTGTAACGAAATGTTTGTCAGTTTACGAATTTTACAGATTTTGCATCGTAATCTGTGTAAAATTGTGGAAATTTTTGGAAATTTGCCGATTTTATGAGGAGTCAGAAATCCATCTAATCCTTTCACCTCTCTGAGATAAAAGTTGTCCCGTTTTTGGTGTCATTGTCGTTCTCGTTGTTCTCTTATCTCGGTGTTGATCTATCTTGATGTTGATCGTGTGTAAATATAGTGTCGTTGATGTTGTTGTAAGGTAACTTTGTGGGCGAGGAGATTATGAACGAGTTGAAATTTTGTTTGTTTTTCGGAATTATGTAAAAATTGGGTCGTGATTTTGGAAGGGTTTGAGTTTGAGTTCATGATTTTTTCGGGGATGGTGTTTTTTGGAAAGGGATGAGTCGAAGGTGTTTAATTAATTCTTAGTTAAGCTAATTACTTACATGTTTCCCGACAGACTGTTAATTATAGTGATAATTTAATGAAACGGTGTCTAGTTTTTCGAAGTACGCGCTTAAAAATCCAAAATAGTGAGTAATTGATGATCTAAACACATAATACCCTTAATTGTTGCTAATCATTGAAGTTATATAGTGAAGTAGTTAGTTAATTAATTATGCATGATACTCATACCTGTAATTGGAACGTATTGTAATTATTGCATGTGCCAATTACATACATATTGCAAAAATATTCGTCTAGTTTGGCTAAGAATTTCTAGTTTGTAAACTATTTAATCACGAGATTATTATGAACAATGTTACCGAAATTCTATTTAAAAACGTCACAAAAAGACAATATTTGTCCAACTTTGGACAAATCTACATATGTTTCTCTCGAACTTAATTTGCAAAAAAAGTCAGTATTATCGAGAAATTAGGGGGAAAAAGTGTAAAAATTTAGACCCATCACTTCGCACCACTTTAAAGACCAATTAATACTGAGTAGTAAATTAAAAATAATTATGTAATGTAAAATAATTAATTCACTCATTTTTCATTTTTCTATAATTTTTGATATCATGGTTTCTTTTCATTTATTAAAAAAATTGTATTATGATAATTTGTGGAATTTTGTATTTCAGTTTTTGTATGAAACAACTTCTTTTCTTTAAAATATTATTTACATACAACAAGCTTTATTTTCTCCTTATTTAAATTCAAATATCTAAATTATCACGATAAAATAAATTACTAGATAAATATAAAATTCTATCAATCATGCTAAATCGTTATTTCGTGCGGGTCTAAAATTTGAGGCAGTTTGTCTGAGTTGGCGTCATTAATTATTATCATTTTGAATTCCGGTTTGGCGACTGACTTTACCCTTATCCTAAGAAATTACGGTATCACATTTGATAACTAGTTATCACATCATTTTTTCCCTATACGTTTGACTCGTAAATACTATTTTGGAAATATATTTGAGGATTAGGATTCTCGTAAAAATTAGTGTCATCGTCAGCACCTTTCGTGACCTCGTCGTCCTCATCATCAATGCACATTAAATCCACCGACTTCGTCCTAACGTGAGCCTTGCTACAGTCAATAATCTGAATTTGGTTGGGAGGATCGTCCAACAAAAAATCTTGACTTGTCGACAAAAGATTTGTTCTCGACGAGGACAGATTTCCGCCACCACCACCACCGTCGTCTTGATCGCTGGTGAGGACGCGGTACTCAAATTCAGTGTGGGCGTCATCATCGCCATCGTCACCACCACCACCACTCGAGTCACTGTCGTCACTAGAAGACGATGACGACGAGGGTCTCGGTATCGAGAGGATTATCGGACTAGGAGTATCACTCGTGGGCGTGATCGACGACGCTGGGGGATCCGTGACCACGACAAGTGACGTCTTTCTCTTCGCGTGGAAGTAATCATCGGACGATGACGACGACGACGACGAAATGCTGCCAGATCTCGCGCATAGTTCGTTAATCATGGAAAGTTTTTTGTACTTGTCGTAAATGGCGGGAGGGGGAATTGTGGGGTTGGGTGTGGCAGATATCTGCTCCCTTCTGAGTGGGACTGGTTCTGTGGTCGTGACGTGTTGACTAGGGACGTAAAATTGTGACTCCATCGAATCGTCGACCTTCACTCCGTGACGGTTCTTATCGCGAAACAGGGGGGATTTGGAATTTGATCGGGACCTCATTTCCACCGAGAGTGCGGAGGACGGACCGCGTTCGAGGGATCCTTTCCGTCTTCCGTTGTAGAGACGACCTTCCGATCTTGATCGGGTTCTTGGGTCATCGGTGGCGGTGGGGTAGTGCTCGAGAGGTTCAGGATTCACGAGGGAAATTGCGCTGAGGTTTTTCGCCGCGAAGAAATTGTTGGGATCTTTGTTCGGGTCGAGGAGCACTTCGGGTGGGAGAGGAGGTAGGTCGTCGGCGGTAGTGAAGGTGCTGGAGGGGGCGCCGATTTGTGACTTGCGGACGTTCAGGGTGGAAGAAGAAGGGTTCTTGGCTTGGTTCTTTTTGCGGGCGAGGTCCGAGTAGAATCGTGACATGGAATGGTTAGCGTTAATGGCACGGACCCAGTGTTCACGCTCCTTCCGGTCGGGTGTGCCGAGTTGGATGGAACTGTGGGGAGGAAAAGTAGAAATTTTTGAGTAACAGACCTTGTAATATTTTTTAAGGATGATAATATAAAATTACAATTACAAAATTGTATTGCATCTAAACAAACGATAACTTGCAAATACGTTTTGCAATTAAATTCAAATTCGGAATCAGAAGTTGGCAAAGTTATGTTTTGCCAGTGTTGATAAAATGAGTGAAAAGTGCAAAGTTTAATTCACCGTAAAAAAATAGAAAACTGAAGTTACATATAAATTTACAAAAAGAGATTCCCGAATTTGCATTGAAATTTGCCTGGGTAAAAAAATGTTGCGAATTAATAAGCACTTCAGCTGAATTTCTTCTCCCTAAAATTTGTATATTTTGCAAATTTTTATTTATTTGCAAACTTACTTGTAAAGTCTGGGAACGGTTTGCCCGCCCGGTAATGTTTTGCAGGTTTTGATAAGGTCAACGATCGAGGGGTCGGGTGAGTCTTTGTAGAGGACGAAGGCCTTCTGCTTGCTGGTCGGCTTTTCTGGGGGGACCTGAACGAGAATGTTTTCCAGGGGGATGATCCCCAACGGCGTCTTGTCCGTGGTGAACTTGAAGTAGTAGAGGCAATTGTTCGACAGGATGAACCACAAACGTTTCCAAGATTTAGGACGACCCCCAAATTTATATAGCCAGCCTGTTAAGTTAAATAATCAATAAAGTTTTATGAAAAAAGCTAATATTTCTAAAACATAAAAAACGCCAAAACATTTACATTGCGAACAAATTTGACATTTCTTGGCCAAATTTGGCCATATTTTAAATTGAGTATTCGAAGTTTTTGTAATAGAAATTTTTCGTCTATAATCTCGGAAATATTGAAAAAATTGATATGTATATTGTACGAAATATACCGGAAACTTATTTCTATGTCAAGCTACAAGTTTTTTTTGCAGATTTAGGAAATTATTTGCCACATTTCATCCCAGAAATCACTGCTTATTTATGTACCTTCATAGTCTGGATTGAAGAAGGTGAGCATGAGGTCGTTTCCGTCCTCTTCGGGGAAACGGAAGGGTTCGGAGAGGATGGAATTGTAAAGTGATGTCATAAACTGGTGAGTGAACCCTTCGCCCCCTTCAATCCCTCGGTTACGTCGGATAAACTGTTCCAGACTCACTTTGTCCTGTGAAGAAATACAAATTACATAAGTTTTCACAAAAATTTACAGGTCACTTTAGCAAACAAAATTCATATAGTTCACTTGGATGACTTTGTAAAATCCGGAAATTTACAAATGTCAAGTCAAGTTGATTAATGTCAACAAATATCAGTTAATATAAAATGTTTTGACAAAATTAGGGAAAATCAAAGTCCAAATATTTCACAAAATTTACAAATATTAAGATTTTTAAAAATAAGTTGTAAAATGAGTTTATAAGTAAATGTACAGAAATCGCAAATTAGTGTTAATGTCAACATTTAAAAAACGGATTTGAAGTTAGAATTGGTTTGGCAGGGTTCAACGTCGTTTATAATTAATCTGAGAGTACAAATTTTGAAAAATTTCATAGATATACACAAATTCGTAGGATAAATTGAGGGGAAAAAACTTGGAGTATAATTTATATATTTCATTTCGAAAATATGCAAATGTTTTTTCTTGTTCATTTTTTACCTTTACGTTCGGATTGTGAAGTTCCGTGTTGAGCATGATAATTGAGTAGCAAAGGACGGAGCAGGTATCGGCTGAGAAAAGGTCGGGATTATTGCGACAATATCGTTCCGCAAAGGCGTCGAGCATCCTGCTAATTTTTTGCGACTCTCCCGGAAGACGAAACGCCCAGAGAAATTGGCGTAAGGCTTGGACGAGGATGAGATCTTTGAAGTCGTGCAAATCGACGAAGGCTTTTAAAACGGCTTCGTTGAAGTCGATCCGCTCCCCGAGATAAGTTCCGATGGACGCCTTGCTCAAGCCGTAACCGTGCTTGATGAACTGTGAAAATGAGAAAGAAATATTTTAATAATCGAATTTGCAAATTTTAAACGTGCAAATTTAAAATTAAGTCAAGAATTAAACCACATCTTTTTGTTCGTTATACCGCACAAATGGTGTAATTTAAAAAAAATGGAGTTAAAGGTTCGCAAAAAAAGTTTGGTTAATATTTAAATGAGCAATTTTGCAAATTAAATCTCAAAAGTGCAAAAAATAATTAACGCCATCAATCCCAGTGGACCTTCTTTGTACTTGAAATCGTCACATTTAATAATTTTTAAAAACTGGTGTTGAAAATATCCACAGGAAGAATTTGCATTTCTGTCAAAGTTTTCATGATTCGACTAATCTTATTAATTTCTGAAACAAACTTGTAAAATTTCTCTCCAGAACTTCTAGTTGTGTTCAGATAAGACATTATCTTCTCTCCCCCGAGCAACATCACCCTCCGTAACTTATAAAAATACATAATCCTAACAATTCGCATTGAAAAAAAAAGTTAAATTGCAAATTTAGGACAGGTAATTATGAAACAGTTTTTGTAATTACTCGATCGTCACATTTTATAATTTTTAAAAACTAGCGTTGAAAATTGGCAAAAAGTATTTTTTAAATTTGCATTTTCGCAACTTAACAATTTTACAAAATTCACCCTAATTTCTGAAACAAACTTGCAAGCTTTCTTTCCAGAAATTCAGATTATGTATATAAAATTAAGATAAGTCATATTATCTTCTCTTACCCGAGCAACATCATCCGCCGTATACTCCAGAATTCCTTTCTCCACTAAAAACGCAATCCCTTTTTTCGCCTCCATATTAAATTTCTTCGTCCCAATCAAAATATTTTTCTTTCTTTCAAGGTCTGCGGGATCTTTTGGGGTCACCTCGTCCTCAAAATCGCTCCCGAATTCAGAATATCGTTCCGAACTTGCCCGGATTGAGGTGGCGTCTTGCAGGGAAGAATTTTCCGAGGAGGATTCACTACTACTGGCCACGCCAGGCTCCGTGTTCGGCGACGATTTCGCCAACCAAGGTTTATTCGCGTGCAGACGACGGGAAGATGATGATATCGACGAGGAGTCGTCTTGGTCTAGAAATTCTGCAGATTTTGCGACATGTGGGCCTGGCGATGAATCTTTCGACACGGGTAGTGATGAGGCAACGTTCTGTGAATACAAAAAGGGGAGATGATTAGCTAATATAAATTCGCAATTTCAATTTTAGTGTAATTTTGGTGTAAGAAGGCTCTGAATTCAAAAGGGGGGATTATTCGCTAATATAAATTCATGATATCGCCATTTTGGTGCAATTTTGGAATAAAAATGCTTTAAATTCGCAATAGCGTCATTTTACTGAAAATTTGGCGTAAAACAGCTCAGTCTTCAAAAGGAGAGATTATTCGCCAATTAAATTCGCAATATTTAATCGCCAAAAACCTTACCGAAGTAGATTCCCAACCCAATCTTCGTATCGACTTTGACCTTTTCAACGACCCCAGGATATTTGCCATTGACATGAAACGTCGCATCGACCCGCCCCCCGCTGATTTTTTAAGGCTTGTCGACATCCCCACGGAAGGCGGCGGCGGTGGTGGTGGTGGCGTAGGCCCCATTGTTATGGATTCCATTGTCGTCGCCTTCGACAAGCTCGCCCTCCGATGATCAAATCCACCCCATCCCGTCGCAGAAGATTTCGACGATGACGACGAATTATTGTCGACTAGCACCTTGTTCTTGGGGTGGATCCGATTCTGGTCGATTTTTAGGAGATTAGGCGTCGAAGAGAACACGGACGAAGGTTTCTGTCCCAAGCTGTCCCCACCACCCGAGAGAGAATCCTTCTTCTTGGGGCGACGGAATGTAGCGAAAATTGATGTCATTTTGGAATCCGTCATCGTAATTATAATTGGCAATTGACGTCATCCACTTAATTAAAGTATTGTTTAATTAACTAATATTTAAATTCCTGGAGGTATTGTCCTCGTTGTTATTGTTTTTATGACGATGTGTGACGATAGTTTGGCGTGTGTGTGTGTGGTCGTGGTCATCTCTTGTGGTTTTGAGGAAATTTGTGACCTTTGTAACTTCCGGTTGTCGTTAAAATTTTAACTAATTTTAGTATTTAATTAACTTCACTTGTAGTTTGGTAAAGTGACGAGTATGATGTCATTTCTTGAATTTTGAACTTGCTGACACCTGAATAACAAAGAAAAATATAAATATGTATCACAAATAATTTCCAACTTTATGAAAACAAAACTTAATTATTTATTAACTGATGGCATACTTAATTATGGGAACAAGTAAAAATTAACTTTAACTAACCAACAAAACAAGATGACGAATTTAAAGTTAATTAACTACTTTGTTTAGTCAGTCGTCGATTCAAAATAAATGACACAATACAATATTTAGTTTAGTTAATAGCACTAGTATTTATCAGCTGTGGATAATAATAATTAGTCGCTCACATAGTACTAACTAAACTAAAACGAACTATACTTAATAATAATGACTCATTATTTAATGACGCAGAATAGTTAGTTAGTTAACTAAAGTCATTATTATTAAATATGAAAATTGTCCCAAAAACCTGCTGATAAATGTAAACTTTAAATTTCAATTAAATTCAGACAACGAAATGGCCAACCTATAAATTTAACTCGCTGCTAAATTATATTTTATTTATTATTCGGCATCAAAGTTACACAATTTTGAAATTTTATTTTCTAAATTACGAAATTATTTTACCATGAAATCTCTCACACGTCCACAATTTTAACTAACTTCGCAATTAACTCACTAGATTTCAAAAAAACGAGAATGATACGATTTCATTTCATATCGAGAACAACATGTATGACGGACTCGAATGGAATTCAATTCGCGTATGTATTTATTCGCGAATAAAAAAGTGTGATGATTCAATATTTGCATTGCAAATGTCACATACTCATAATGGCGAATATGTAGTGCCAAAATAAAATGCATGGCAAAGCACGTATGTATTGGATAGTTATAACTTATAATAGTTAACTAACTATAGTTAGTTAGTGTGGACTGCATTATTATTATAAATCATGCTCCATCCGTCCACATTTACTGATTTATTGTTACTGGATGACCAAATTAAGTGAGGATTGGAATCGTATTTATTTATCATGGAATGGATGAGGATGAGAGTTCGCAAATAATAAAATTGCGATAAGTTGCATGTTCAAAATTGAGCAAATATCTGCCCAGCAAAAGTTTAATGGTTGTTTAGTGTTTTAATCGAGTCCCATTTTATTCAATATTTTATTTAATAAAATCCATCAGCAGACTAAACTTTTGGGAGTAGGCATGTCATTTTTTCCAGCACGGATTGCAAATGTGAATAATTTTGCGAAATGGTTTCAGGCTCATTTTCATAGCTAAGTTTGTCAAGTTTTTTTTTACCTAAGTGTGACATCATAGTTCTTTTTTATTCTGGAAATGAATTTAGACTACGTTACAAAATTAGATATGATATGACTTTCTTCCCTGCGAAATTAGAAATTATTTTGAAAATTGGAAAACTTCACGAATTATAGGGATAAGAATTTTGTAAACTTTTTGACACAAATTTAAATTTTATATTTTTGTCAACTTTGTTTTTTAATATAAATAATTCCTGTTTTATACAACTTTTTCTCAAAGTTTGCCAATTTTGAGGTGAATCTGTCCATAGAAATTTCCTAGAATTGTCCAACTTCCAACTTTTCCATGCAGTGTGTTCGTACACGATTAGATTGATCTCATTCTACGAATTCATTTCATCTGTCTCTTTACGAGTCCGTTGCTAACGTTGATAACGCAAATATAGAATTTATGTCTAGTCACGAACACAGTTAAAAGTTAACAGTTACAAAAATAATAATGATGAAATTTTGTCCAATCAAGTTAACAAGAAGTATTGTAAATGAAATGTGTGGGGGAAAATTGAAAATAAATTGCATACGAATCTTCGGAATTTTGAGAATTTTTGCATATTTTTTTAAGTTTGACTTTCTGTACTGCAGGGTGAACTCTGTATAGAAATATTTGTCTAAAAAAATTATGCAAAATTATGCAAAATATATATTAAAAAAATGAACTAATTTATTTATTACAAACTTGTTTAACTCGGAAGCGGTACCTAACTCGTTTTAATAACATATTAGACATTTAGAAAATTCAGAATCGGATTTAAAGTAAGCAAAACAAAACCCAAGTTCAATTTCAACCTGTGCGAAATGATGCTTAATTTATAACCTAAATAAATAAATGTCTTTATAAAAACAAGGTTAGCACAGTTTTCGACAAAATTTATTTCTGAAAAAGGATGCACAAAATTCCGAAAATTGTGTGAAACTTATTTTAAATTTAGCAATTTATCGTTCTTTTTGTGTGTGTGGGACTTGCTTATTTCGCAGTGATGTTTTCAAAACCAAATATACGTTATAAATTAAGCATCATTTCGCACAGGTTGAAAATTAAGTTGAGTTTTGCTTTGTTAAAATCCGACTCTAAATTTCCTAAATGTTTAGCTCACCATTAAGCTTGGTTAGGTCCGAAGCTAGCTAGGTACGTTTGTACTAAATTGGTTCATTCTTTTTTAAATTGCACAATTTAACGATTGAAGAAAATTGAATTTCTAAAAACAATTTTTAAGCAAAATCTGAAAATTACTTGGAAAATTATTATTTATAAAATTTGTAAATTTTACAAGTTTGACACCGAAGGCAAGTTTTTTGAAAAATTAGTTAAGTTTGTTATGAATTATTTAGGTGGATCCAAAAACTTTGGCCGTATATGCTAAATAAAAAAGTGGGTTTCATTTTCATTTTAATACCCAATCTGTAATCTGTCAGGTTACAAATATTGCAAGGTTTACGTATTAAACAGTCGAACTATATTTTTTGCAAATTTGCAAACAAATTTGCACTTTTGTTATTTCACTTTTGTGATTTCCTTTAGAACTATATATAATTTTATTTTGTAATTTTATCACAAATTTGCAAATCCTACTTCCTTCTTCCCAAAAATGGTGGTCTCGTGGTAGTCAGGATGTGCAAAAAAATGTGTCACGGAAAAATAAACACATTCCTAAAATGGGCCAAGTCCTGTAACAGTTGGTTGACACATGGGACAAGAATTGTTGTTGGATTTGCATAATTTCTGCATGCATGCGACCTATGTGAACCAGGAGAGGTTTTTACCTTGTTTTTCTGAAATTATGAGTTAATCTTCTCACGATACGTACATTTTTAGGCCTGACTTTGACGTGATTTATTTCATTTTCATAAATAAATAATGAGTCAAATCTGGAAACGTTTCCCTTTTTTAGAGCAACTCATCCTCAGTCAGCCTTATCTTGAAAAGATTTATAATGATGATAAGTGTGTGATAAGTTGGTTAAATAATCCTTCAGCAGCGTTTCATTGCTTTATTGTTAATGAATTGTGGGGATTTTTTTGCACGAATATGTTTAGCAAAATTTATACGCAAATATCTAAATAAGGTTGGTAACCTTATAAGTAAGTAAGATTTAGGTTTAAAAAGAGAGGAGGATGTGCTGTGTGGACTATTTTGTAACACGAGATTTTCATGGAAAACTTGCAACTTCATGCTGAAAGTGAGCTTAATGCAAATTTGTGGAAAAATAATGCGTCAAAGTTCACATGTTCATGACATTGAATTGTGAATTCTATATGTAAAATGTGGGAAATCAGTATAAATTTTGGCCTAAATGATGCCTGTTTCTAGATAAAAGTAGCCAAATAAGTAAAATTGCGAAAAGTTATTAATATATTTTAATTAATTAAAGACCAATTATTTAAAAAAAAATGACAAAATTTTAATTTTAAAACTTTCCAAGTCACGACACAAACTACATAATTTTTGCAACTTCAAAAATTAGGTATATCATCTAAATATGACATTTTATTTTCAAAATCAGGAAAAAATTTGAATTGACGCCAAGACTGCGTAATTTTGTAATAATTAAATTGGGATGTCTTCATAATTAATTAACAAATATTCTCTTTTTTGTCTGTCTTGTTGTAAAACTTTCCAGGAAATAAATGACACTTCAAAGTAAGGGGAAAAGTGAGAATATTTGCGTAATTATGTAAAACATGTAATTATTATTCGCGTATGTAAAACGATTACAAAATAATAAAAAATGCTTGAACAACAGTAAGCAAAAACGGATTTACAAATAGATCAGAAATTTTTGGATAATAATAAAAGTAAGAAAATTGGTGATAAAAAGCAGCAGCTTTTGTAAATCTTCCAATTTTGAAAACTGCTAAATTTTGGGCTGACTGAAAATGATGTTCGTTTTTCTATAGTTTTTTTACCAGGATTTAGAATCATTTAGTTTATTTCGGTCAATTTTTGAACTACACTTCCAAAAGAGATCATCCTTATCTGTCATAACTGGTGCTTAAAATCTCTTGAATAATAAAATAGACGTAAAAACTAGTCAAATAAATAAAATTGGAAAAATTATAAATATAAATATTTAAATATATTAAATATCAGGTGAATTTTAATTTTAAAAGCTGCGGTCACGACACAGGATAACAAATTTTTGGAAACATAATTTCTATAAATTTCCAGAATTTTAAAAAACTTAATAAAATAACGTAGTTTTAGTACCTGACACAACTTTACTTAACAATGTAAAAATCTTTTAAAATAAATAAAACGACGTAAATATTTTGCCATTATTAAATTCTATCATCTCACACTATTTTCAGACTACAATAATTGTAGTCTGAAATCATTATTATCATTATTATCATTATTATCAGATTTTATGTGCGAAAAAAGTGCGAAAATTTTCAATTTTAGACACATTTAAAATCTAAATATGTAAAACGATTACAATGCTAGGAAAATACTCTTAATTGCGCAACAGTGTGAAACTGAAACGCAATTAGTGTACAACTTTGGACATGACGATAAAAACGGGGGTAAAAAAGCAGAAAATCTGATTTTGGGAGTTTTCCCAATTTGGAACCAGCTTAACAAAAAATTTGATAATTATGTCGCGAAAAAACTGCGAAGATGATTTTATGCACATTTATTACACGGTTTTATTAGCAAACGTGCAAATATTGACGACTTTATTGCAAAAAAAAATAAAAATATGATTCATTGGTAACAACTGGGATTATGAAATTAGTGACAAATCGCGTTTACCACTCGTACACAAATGGTTACCGATAAAAAACACGTCATTTTCGTATTAATTGTTCAATTCAAAGAGAAAATTAACACACGAAGATCCACGAATCTGATTTTCTAAATAGATAAATGTAATTTATTAAAATGCAGCCATCTACACGTAAATTATGCAAAATAGACTCGCAAGTGTACATAATTAACTCCAAATCGAAAATTACACATTTCACAATTTTATTGTTAATAATTCGGTACGAAATTGTGTGGTAATATTTTACAGAAAAATGGCAACTCGCAGCAATTTTACAAGGGTTATATAATTTTTGGCAATGTGGTGTTAACAATTTTTTACCAAGTTTTTACCAATTTCGGTCAGGTTTTGGTACCCGTTTTGTCTTTTTTGAAACACTGTTAAAAATCTGGTCGAGTCACATGTACGGGTATTGATTTCGTAACTACCTACCATTTGTTTATACGAGTGGTAAAT